TGCAAAACACTAGAATATTATATGAGATATTAGAAAGTTTGAAACATTTTCAATTACGAACAATTAACCTTAATGTTTACTGGTCATAAACGAGGTCATAAACGCAAAAATAAGCAACTGTTTTTGTAACGCTTTTAAACACGAGGTAAACAAATAAAACAAAATGCATCATTGGCCCATCCTGTTGCAAAGATTAAAACTATGTAGGTAAAACGTCGCGAAAATATCCAATATTCGGTAGGTATTCGATGACATGTCAGTTTTTGTAATGGTTTTTAATCGCCGTGAAGGACTTTTTCAAAACATTTAAAAATAAACCTCAAAACTTATGATTCACCTAGAAGTGAATAGAGATTTTTTAATATACATTTAAATTAAATATTTTTAACTGAGCTGATTCATGAACTTACTCATCGTTACTACCGCGCCTGTTTGATGTTAAAAACCCCTTAAGGATTCATAAAACTACGCTAATATAATAATGGATGGCCTATACGCAAGACATTCAATTGTTTTTTTATGGTGACGCTGCCAACTATAAAGTATAATGTTTAAAATGATTCATCCTTCTGTATCGCAACCCCAATCAGGTAACAAGGCTTAAGCACACTTTTACAATAATCAGTCTACTGTTAATTAATTTACTTCTTATCCCTTGAGACGCCATCATAATTTTGAAGGATTTACTGTCGTGTCACACGAGCAGCCATTTTCTGAATTAAAATTATCAATCAATTAAAAGTGTCTGCATAGCTAATACTCTACAGGTTGTCCCTGTAAGGTTGAGACACTACTCGATCACAGATTATTAGAATCTAATTAAAATGATTTAAACCAACTTGTCTAGATACAAAAATCTACGCCTACTGATATACATATTATAGTTCACTGAATGAATAACGTATTTTAATATAAATTTAAAACTATTTTACTTAGTAACCTTTTTTGGGGTGTCCTTGAATATTTATAGCTTTTTCGTTCGTTACGTTTGTAATCTAATGTACATTTTCTAATACAGATTTGGTGTATTTAATATGTATTTTTGTGAAAAACATAAACTGATGTAAAACGTTTAAAAATTTCGTCTGTAGACGGCACCGTCCTAAAGTTCTTTCAGACGCCCAGTATGTCAGTCAGTCAGTCAAAGTACGTCGGCACAAAATCTAACTATGCAATTAGAACACTTATTTTCATGAATTTTTTAGTTATTATCGTTTTTAGTTATACATTAATATTTTAATAATTTTAATGCACTGAGTTTATTTGATTATTTTTTGTTTGTTTTTATTTATAAATAGCAAAATATAACTAAATATTAATAAACATGTTCTACATGTTTATTTTTTTACTTGTGAAACTGTTTTGGTGCCCAGAGAATGATTTAAAAAATCTCCAAGGCATAAAAAGTTTTACCACATTAGTGATCATTTGAGTAACCTCTCTGTTAAATGTCATATTACCTACCATTAAAGTTTAGCGTATCTAAAATGTTTATATTTTTTATACGTTTGAAGATAATGTTGTAATTGGTACCTACATATTTTATACATTTTAGGCGACGTGGTGTTATTTTTCGTCTATATACAATGCAAATTGGTCTGATGATAAGACAGGGACACAAAAAAAAAGTTCAAACCCAAGAAACACACATCATTTCCGAAGGAATTCGATGCGCTGAACAGGATCCTGTAGTCAAAATTCATAACTTGCGGATGAATTTAGGAGAAAAGCAAAATTTTTGGGTGAAAATGCCCAAATATGGAGGCGCTGAACACGATGCCATTAGTAAAATTTACCCCCAACCTCAATATTTTTTAGAAGATCCACTGTTTGGGTGAATTTTTTCCTAAATTATGTCCAAATATATAATTTTCGTAGTATCTTGAGACGCTATACATGATGCATACATTCTAAAAAAATTTCACTCAAATTTCACTCAATTTTACTCAATAATGTATCAGTTTCTGTACACACCCGATTGAGTGAAATTTTCTAGTATGAGTACAACTGAGTGAAACTATTGCATCAGAAATTAGTGTGAGTTTTACCCAAATTCGAGTTACTGCTAACTTTCAATTGAGCGACTTTTGATTCTATTCTGAGTATATAAAACCAATTTAGAGTTAACTTTTTCTCTGATACGATTTAAATTTAACTATTATTTTTTACTCAGACTTGGTTTATATTCTCTTTAAATTTTAATTTAAATATCATTGTATTAAAGTCATAAACTACTAAGCTGCCACAGTGGTTTCTATACAGATCCCAGAATATTTTAGGTCTCGATTAAAGGAATTGGTGAACTGATCGGACAAATAGGTTACAAATACCTAATTATAGATAACAATTTCGCTATCCGTTTTTTAACCAAATATTAATCGAGACTTAATTATTGTCTTTAATTATTGTAATTAAATCACTGCATTTAAATACAATTTTCACTAGAATAACCAGATAAACCGACACTTGTCCAACTCCAAAGCACACCATACACCATACTGCCATCCACCGTGCCATGGTCACGAGATAACCTAATAGGACAACAGGAAAAGACAAAGACGATGCATCTGGATATGAAAAAGGGTGGAATCACTCAGTAATGATGACGTTTACTCTGATTTAGGTACAAGTGCACCAAATACGAGTGTACGTGAGGAATTTATTTAAGGAGTAGGTACCTACACATATTTGAGTGAAAGTGCTCAGTTATAATTTAAATATAATCACAAATTAGTAAATTGATCAAAATGCCCAACATTGAGTGAAAATATACCTACTCAATAATTTCACTCAATGGATTCATGACCTCGATATTTCTCAGAAAATTCACCATTTGGGTGGCTTGAAGATGCATGGGTCAAAACTGATTTTTTCCTAGATTTTGCCCAAATATATCATTTTCGTAGTATTTTGAGAAGCTGAACATGAAGCCATTAGTAAAATTTACTAATGACCTCGATATTTCTAAAAAATACATTATTTGGGTGAAAACTGGCATTTGTCATTTTCGTAGCGGATAATCGAATTGCCTCTAGTTTATCAACAATTAATTATGAAAAATATTCGTTTGACATTTATTTTTTAGTCAAATATCAGATTTAGGCCTGGATTTATGTTATACAGCATACTATTTGATATGTACCTGAATAAAGTATCAGCCATTTTTTATCACGTTTCACCTGAGATCTTGTAGAGATTCTGAAAATGTGAATTGTTTCAAAGTTCTCTTATTAAGCATATATTTAATCCTGGCTAGAATACGCAAACATGACATGGATATTGTTCTGTCAAATATACATCCTTTAATTCGACTGCCAAACTTCTCAGAGCGTTCATTGATCAAAATTAATTAAAACAAAGTTCAAAGGAACTGGTGCTCAATTTCGACTTCTTACTTACACGTAACAGTTTGAATATTATCCTTTAAGTTTCACACTAGTTAAAATTTCATACTACGAAAATGATGTTTGGACAAAATTTAGGATACAATCAGTTTTGACCCATGTTTGGGCTAGGTTTCATCCAAATAGTGGATTTTCTGAGAAATATGGAGGTCATGGGTAAATGTTATTAATATCATGGTATTCAGCACCTTAAAATACTATAAAAATGATATCTTTGGACAAACTTTAGGAAAATATCAGTTTTGACACATATTTGGGCGTTTTCACCTAAAAATTTCACTTTTTCCGAAATTCATTCATGATTTTTTTGCCTAGAGGGTCGTATTCAGCGCATCGAATTCCTTCGATGATATGTGGGTCTCCTGGATTTGGACTTTTTTGTGTGCCAGTGTAATTTGTCACGAACTAATGAATTAACGAACTATTCTAAATCTACAAATTAACTTATTTACAGGTATTAGTAAAACAGTAAATAAGAAACAACTATTTTTCATTAAATAGTTGGAAGCAGCAACTTCTTCAAGATTTCTATAAATTCATTTTAAAAATTTATATACAAGTTACTCTCTTATACTCTTATACTCTCTTACTTATACTCTCAGTTATTTCAATTAATTAATATTTTTAAATTAATGTCGAACATTTTGCATGCACAATATACACTTTTTCGTCCACAAATAATTTTTAATAATCGAAAAAAATACAGCAGTAAGGCATGTTTAATGGTATACAATAACGTCATGTCATTATATTTTAAATTAAACCAAAAAAATCGTAGCAGACTTAGATATGCAGTTAGTTATCTAATAATAATAATTAATACTTTTTTACTTACTACGTTAATGACATATACGTAAGGACACACTTTAGCATTTCATACACACACAATTAACTTAAAATAGCACATTACTTAAATGTTGAAAAATGTATCTAGGGACAATGCTGTTGATAACCATATCACTGTAGTGCGAAATAAGGCTTACTCATATAGGTATCTAGACCTCCTAGAGATCTAGAGCAATAAGTTTTGGAGAATAAAATATATTTATTACCTTGAAATCAATAATTTGAAGAATTTGGATAGAATGTCCAGTTGTCCTTCTTGCAGAACAGGATTAATATGTGTGCTCCTGGACATAAAACGTTTCAATTTCAACAATGATAACGATAACGATGAAGCCATAAAGTTAACGGGATCTATAGACGAAACCTTATTACTATGTTATCAACAGGCGCCATTGCCGTTATTAATTGCAATAAATGGATATGCCGGTCGAATATATACACACGTATTTAACCTAATACCAGGATAGATAAGGTAGTGTGTAATAACAGCATGTGTCATTTTTTCTTTGCTTGTCATAACTGAATGATGGCGCTTTTGTTATCCGCGGATCATCAAAGATAAAGATAAGACATTAAACAACCACAGTTCATTTTATTTTAAAAATTGAAAATGTTTTTACTTATGTTTTCTTTTATGTCAACAGTCAACTTCCGTTATTAAATGCTAAGTGAGATAAGCATTACAAAAAAAATAATAAATAAAATAATTTACATTAATTAAGTACATATTTATGAAAAGATAATTCTTACCTAGTGCCTAATATTGTTTACGCCATTCCCGTGTAAGAAAATATCTACAAAGAGAGAAATATTTTAAATCTTTAAAGATGAACTATTTACAACTTAAGTACCTAACAAAATGTAGATTGACAAACATTTTTAATTATATTTTTCGTCTCTGTTAAATTTTGAACACTTTATTTGATTGCAGTGAAATACGTAGACAATATTTTTAGTTATAAAGTTGCCTTCTTAGATATTAGTTACGAAACAACTACTCTGCGGGCTACATGCCTCCTCCAGGATTCAATAACACCGGCAATATACATATATTAAATAGCTAAGATCATTTGTCAACAGAATAATCAAAATAAACTTTGCAGGTTATATGTCACCCACACTCAAAATTTTGAGCAAACTAATTTGGTAATGGTGTATATTACATAGATTTAGCAAAGTTTAATTTTTTTTAAGCTTAAAAATGATTTAGTGTCACAAATATTGCCACTTTAATCAATCAATCTATTTCATTAATTGTCCTAAAATTACCATTTGTGCTGTAAAGTGTTGCCAATGAAAAAAAAGAAAGCTGACAGTTCAGAGTTATTAAAAATGGAGCACTACATAACAGAATAACGCGTTTTCATTATTGAGGAATAATTTAAATATAATTATGGTTTAGCAGTAACAATTTTCGTTCAAAATATGGTCGGAATAGTAATTTTCCTTCATCATTTCATTAACTGCGAAGACATTAATTAAAATATTTAAGGAGAATGGATCAGTTAGTGACCTTAAACACTCCGGCCGTCTTTCAACAAATCGTTCAACGCAAAACATGAAGCAGTTCGTGAGAGTGTTGCTGAGATTCCAGGAACATCAATTCGGCACCGCGGTCAAGAAATGGACATTTCAAGAAGTTCTCTACAGCGCATTCTCACGAGATTTGCACAAAGTTCAATTCACTCAAGAACTGAAGCCTACTGACCACGCATAACGAAGAGAGTTCGTTCAATGCATTATGGAACAAATGGATGCTGATTTTTCGAACAAAATCATCTTCAGCAATGAGGCCTATTTTTATCTTGATGGATTCGTTAATTGACAAAATTGCCGCGATTGGAGTTCAGAAAATCCACAAGTGATTGTTGAAAAACAAATGCATCCACCACGTGTCACTGTTCGGAACGGATTTTGGGCTGAAGACATCATCGGACCATTCCTCGAAAATGCGGCTGGTTAGGGAATAATAGTTAATAGTGCCCGCTATCGCGACATGAGTCTTTTCCCGGTCGAGTAATTTCTCGTTTTGGTGGAGAATTGGCCATCCAGCTCATGCGACTTAACACCGTTGGACTTTTTCTTTGAGGTTTTTTGAAGCCTAAGGTATGCCAACAAGCCCACGACCACTCACGCCTTGAAGGAAGAAATTAAGCAATGTATCAACGAAATTTAGCCGCATTTATGCAAAACGGGCATGGAAATTGCAAATGCTACTTTATAAAATATTCTAAACCAAACTTTTACAAATTTGCCTCAATAACTATAATTTTATAGTGTCCTATCGTCTAAATCATTTCAACTATCGCCATCAGCACAGCACTGAATATTAGTTTAAAAAAATATATTGTTTTTGAAAAGTTTAATATTAAGTACCTACCTATTCAAAGTTTGTAGACATTCATTTTTTAATCAGAATTAGTTAAATATACTTACTACATATTTAACTAAAATAAATAATATAGTAAATATGCTGTTCTCTTGCAATTTTTTTCTATTGCGCGAATTAATTGAGGTGTTAAATAATCGAATTGAACGCACATATGGAGTTCCACAAGGTTTAATCCTGGGGCCTATTTTATATTTTATTTATAATTTACCAGAAGTGATGTCAATTTAAATGTGTTTATTATTTCCGAACGATTTTATCAATATATACCATTACTGTCAAAACCATTTATAATTCACCGTTCTCGATTAACAAACTGCTTTATTAACACATAATACATTTTCCAATGTCTGTGTAAATTTTATATACACTCCGAAATATATTTAAATAGATAATAACGTACTTTTTAATTTTACATTTTAACTTAATTTAAAACCGAATCCTAGTAAAATCATCAACAGCCAAAAACGGGTATCAAATTTGGTACTGATACTTCAACTGGATTTAAAAATAGTTCAACAGATCATCCTTCAGACATTATGTGAGGATATACATACATAATGTAAGGAGTCAAAATTGACCCGAGCTCATTTACGTTTTTTTTTTTTCGTTGTGATCCTGTACAATTCTTACCACTTTTACATTTATTCCATACGTTGACCTAAATTATATTTGTATCAATCATTAGCGGTTACAATAAAACAATTTCCTAGTGACATAAATGCTAAAAACTTCCTGCGGATACGTAAACAAAATAAATAAAAGAATAATATTTGATGTTGCACAGAACAACCACATTGCCTAGTAATTGTCAGCTTTAAAAATGATGACATATGATCGTGTGTATAATTGTTAAATACATAATATGTAATTAGATAAAACAGATGTATTTTTAAAATATGATCCCTGTTTAAACCAGATGGTTTACTGCATAACTTTTTTTATGTACATGTATATAAACAGAATATATACTTAGCACATACCTGCTTTATAAAATTTTTTGAATGTAACACCAAAGCAGAAAAAAAAACAAACTTATTAATTTCAACTGTACATTAAAATCCTAATAAAGCAGACAAAAACTATTTTCATTTAAAGATGTATGTTTAAATATACCCTGTCACAAACATGTTAATCAGTTGTAAAAATGAACAATTTATGTTAGTAACTGTATTTATAATGTCGATAACTTTTGCATGTGGGTATTTCCAACTGAATACAACAACATTTGAGAAATAGTGAAATATAGAGAATGGTTAAATTAGGGCAAAGCGTAAATATAATCGTTCAGATTTTAATTTTGCAATTTTTAGGGATTACTCAAAAAGATGTAGAAAAATATTAGAACACTTTCTTAAGACCACTTTTTTCCTTTATTTGAATAGGTATTGAAGATGTCATCATTTAACATTTAGAAAACTCATAATAGCATCCTAGTTATATACATAGTTACTAGGATATTTTCCTATCCTAAAAAAATGCTGTTTCAACATTTCTCTCTCGATGTACCGTCAGCTGTTCACTCATTATTGCCTCAACCTCAAATATTTAGAAAAACCTTCCGGATTTTGCAAGAATTGTAAAATCAATTACATGTTACATATACATATAGTGTCCCAGAAAAGAGGACTTATCCGGTAACTACAGCTTCAAAGTCAAAATAAGATAATTTGAGCAAACTCATCTATACTATGCAGATTTGTGCACTTTGGAAAAACAAATTAAAAATGGGGTTACCCTTATTCTCCTCATCTTTTTTGTAGGTAACCTTCTGATGTATTTTTTAACTTTTCAGACTATCATTTTATGTGTCTTTTCTTAGAGTGAAAATAATAGTAAAGAAATTGTGTAACTTTATGAAAGTATTAAAAAATATTTTTTTCATTTGTCCTTCCTAGTGCACAAATTTCTGCAAACTCAATACAATAAAATAAATAACATCCGTGTCAAATTTGAACTAAATATGTCGAAAGGTTAATATCTTAAATACCTTCGTGATTACTAAGAAGAAAAGCTTTTGAAAATTATTTGTTGACGCATGTATCTTTTAAAAGAATCATTTTTGTATATCATCAAGTTTGCCTTAATCATCATATTTTGATCTAAGTAATCTGTTTTCTGGGACACTGTATATATATTATTATATTATTATATTATTATATTATTATATTATTATATTATTATTATATATATTATTTCCGTAATATAATTAACATAAAACGACAAGAGCAAATGTTTCAAAACGTGGCAGATACTTAATTTTTAAGTCGCTTTGTTGTGATGATTAAAGTATTTTAAGTATTACACACCGACTGTTGTAGTACTTTACCATCGAATTCCAGGTCATGTTCCAATACCGCAATACCAGTTCTCTAGAAGAGGTTCCACTGAATAGTAAATAAACGTTCGCTTGCATACATGTAGGTGGAGATATGCTCGGCCGGATCCAGTGGCCATGTCCGCCTTGCACGTATTTCCGGCTTAGTTTTTGTACACAAGCCCAGGGCCGGATTTAGGAAAGCCACAGAAGAACGTGTTTTAAGTTTGAACCGCAATATGGTGATAAGTATCACCCGTACGAAATTATATGCAAAAATTTCTAACTTTTGTTGCAAACAAAAGATTAAAAAGTGTGTATTCAATTTGGACTAAACATAAATGCAGTGATCTTTCAAATTTTCATAATTTTTAACTACACATGAGTTAGATTAATTAAAAACCATTGAAGCTATAAGCTTCGTATTTGGTACAGTGCAATTCGTTGAAGAGATGTTCTTTTACCGACTTAAATACACAATTTTCAATGTAAATTTTTAAGCCTCTTGAGTTTTTAAATATACTTCACCGTTAAAAAAAAAAATTACAATCATCAGCGTCATCAACAGCAGTGGATAACAAGTCAATTATTTCGCTCAAATTCATATAATATCACTTCATATTAATTCTTCGTCTTTATTAACAATGCTCGTAACAATCGCGTAGTTTTTGCACCTTTAACCGTGATTAAGGCCTTCCGAGACATAACAATTTTCTTTAGAAACTATATAAATCTATTAAAGAATCCTCAAACCGCTCCTAATGCCAACGCAATGAGGTGTTTGTCATATTTTCAAATATTACCACAAAATTAAATAATGTACCAAAGAAACTGGCTCTGTATTGTTTTATTTTTGCAAGAAATCTGTTGAATGTCAATCTCTATAGTCCTTACAGTAATTTCATTCGTGTAAATTTTGAACAAAACAGTTGTGTCGGATTTAGGGTGTTTTAACTGTCAAAAAAAAGTTATTTGATAATAATCTTTTGTAGTTGAAACTCGTCAATACAGTTTTTGTGCAAGGTTGTATTATTCAAATTTTTGTATGAAAATAATTATTTGATTCAATTTGAATAACAATATTGGTG